CAACCAATTGGGAATATTTTTATCATTTGCCCATACAAGAGTATGACCTCGGATTTGCATTCCATTCTGCTGAGCCCAACCTGTAGAGTTAGTAGTAGCCCCTAAGAGCCAATCACAGTTGCTCCAATTATAATTGTTTATACCATGCCATAACTTCATAGGTTTGAAATCATTTTCTGGTTCAATGACGTGATAGTTCTTTTTAATAAACGAATTGTATTGACCACCATCAACGTCTTTTCGTAGATTATTTACACTAGCAGCTGTACCGAATAGTATACCACGAAGAGCGGAAGATGCTCGAAGACCCAATGGATTTTGTGCTTCGACAACACTATTGATTGCCAAGCACACCCAGAATAATAACCTCCACTCTCTTATCATTAGTGATGAAATGAAAGAAAATGGTTATTTGATCAATCGACACGAGAAAATAAGCGAGATGAAAAATTTGATGCAGTTCCATATCCGCCAAGGTAAAATGAAAGATTAGCACTAGCACATTGATCTTTTCGCTTTCTCACTCTTTTGCAAAACAGAAAGAAAAATAATCTTTTAAATCTTTTCAATATGCGAAAAACTACTTTAATTAAAAATTGGAATGGGATGATTTTTTTGTCCTTCTATTGTGAGTTCGATGCTATATATCCCTTGTATTGGAGATATGATTGACACACAAATAAAGATATTTTAAGTAATTATTGGATCTGTAGTGTACGGGTTGAGACCATCTGTTTATTTTCTAAAAGAAAATCTTTTCGCTTTTAATCAAACAAATTAAAAGATGAGAATTCTTATTCGTTAGATCAAACGCAGAGAACTTTTTCTTTCTCATTTATTCTACTTCATCAATCAAAAATACAAAAAATACCTTTGAGTAATTGATTGTGTATTTATTGGGTTTCCTAAAATGTTTGCACACATTTTGTTTTACATGTACCTCAGTATGGACAAATGATAAAAATCTAGATTTTTTTTTAAAGATGCATCGTGAAAGACTCTACAAAAAATGCCGAAACAAGCCTCTACTAACATGTTCTAATAATTTTTCCTATACTCCAAACGAAACACTACTTTTCAATGCTACTCTTCATTATATTAGTACAACGAAAATGTTTTTTTATTTTGCGTATATCTCGGCATGAATAGATGATAACATTTTTTGACCTTTTTTTCAAAAGATGCGCCGTCGAAAGTGCTGCAGAGTTTATATAAAGAGATTGTTATTAACTTTCTCTCATAAGTCTTTTTTAGGTTGTTAAAGTGATGGACCCCGCAATTTTACTGTTTCGCGATATATGACTGGAAATAGTAATAAAGTCGGATTCGTCGCTTTAACAACCTAGAAAAGACTTATGAGAGAAAGTTAATAACAATCTCTTTATATAAACTCTGTAGCACTTTCGACGGCGCATCTTTTGAAAAAAAAATCAAAAAATGTTATCATTTATTCATGCCGAGATATACGCAAAAAAAACATTTTTGTTGTACTAATATAATGGAAAGTAGCATTAAAAAGTAGTGTTCCGTTTGGAGTACAGGAAAAATTATTAGAACATGTTAGTGGAGACTTGCTTCGGCATTTTTTGTAGAGCCTTCCACGATGCATCTTTAAAGAAAAATTTAGATTTTTATCATTTGTCCATACTGAGACATATGCAAAACAGAATGTATGCAAACCTTTTTCGGACACCCGATATCCTGTCGAAGTGTTTATAAATCATGTTGAAAACAACAGCTTCGGAAAAGATAATTGTTCGAACAAGTGAAGTCATGATGAATTAACAACAATCAATACTAAATTAATTAAAAGTTTTTCGCCAAAAAGCTTTGAAACGCATGTGTGAGTGTGTTGTTTTAAACTGGCTCATGAATTAATTCGAAGTATTTTTTTAAGCATATAGCGCCTTAAGTTCGTGTTGATAAAAATGGTAACATATTTGTTTTGATGAAGTTGCCTTTTGAATGTTGTGAGAAAGCGTTGGGATATGTTTTTCTTCTTGGCGATTATATTGCCTTTGCTCTGTTGAGATTTTGTTGTTTGATTTGTGTTCCTGAATGGTTTGGAGGCAATTTTGGATTTGTGGAAACCAGAGGATTATACTAGAAATGGTGAAAAACGGTGCCTTTACTGATTTCTGCCGGAAACGATAGAAAATCAAGCACAATATTTTGAAAGGATGTCAGCGGATTCATATGCCCGGTTTGTATCTGGTGGTTTTGGGTGTTGGTGTGTGAGGATCTCTGTAATCGCATCCACACCCCATGCCCAATCATTGATCTCATTACGATCATTAATTGGTGATGGTACCAAATTCACTGTTTTAATCAAGTTACCAGATACTCATTATGATGCAACAAAAAACATTATGGCATTAACATATGATTTCGACTCCTGTTATCAAAAATCAGGGCAAACATTTGCTGAATGGAAAGCTGCATTATGTGAAAAACTACGTCACTGTCGATATACTACATCTGCTTTAAAAGATAAACCACGAGACCGTGCTCTTCAAGCTATGCACGTTATTGCAACCGAAACGATATAAACAACAACAAAGTAACTCATTCGTAAAAAATGAATACAAACCATGTGAAACATGTAGTTCAACTAAATATCTTCGATTAAAATGCAAATATTGTGAGTTTACTTGTAACTTTTGCATAAGAATCGGTCATTTAGAAAAAGTATGTCGACAAAAGAAAAACGAAAAGAATTCTACGAAACATATTTCAACGATTCATAAATGGGACTGTTTCAATCAAACGAAGCAATTAATTGAGGTGTGGGCATAGTTGTTGACTGAATTCATACCCACACCCAATAAAAAAACTTAATGAAAAAGCTCGAATATGTGGTGATTTCAAGATGACAATTAATCCTCAAATATTGATTGATCAACATCCGATTCCAACGATTGAAGAACTCCTTACGAGACTTAATAATGAACAGAAATTTACTAAATTGAATTTATCAGATGCTTATCTTCAAGTGGAATCAGATGAATAAAGTAAAAATTTAGTTATTATTAGTACACCATTAGGTTTAGGGTGTGGGTGTTCATTTAACGAAGTGCCACATCTACATCCAACATCCACACTCTTAAATCATAGATAATTATTTAAATTTCATCTCAACCTTAGAATATATTTCAAATCTAGACTTCTAGAAATATTTTATTAGAAAAAAAAACAATCTCACCCTTTTTAGTATGATTATGATGAGTATTTTAGAAAAATGATATGTCCGATTTTTTCTAATAAACAAGTTAACGCGACACAAACGTTGCCGACCCTCTACTGAAAGGATATGATGCTGCAGAGATTGGGGTATTTGAGCAGGAAAATACAATAACTATTGTATTGGTATACATACTGGGTAAGGAC